TAAAATTTAATTTATAATTTTTTAAAATATTTTACTTTATGCAAAAATTTTGAAATATATTTTATAATATTTTAAAATATTTTATTTTGTACAAAAATTTTGAAATATATTTTATAATATTTCAAAATATTTTGCTTTATATAAAATTTTTAAAATATATTTTGTAATATTTTGAAATAATTTGTATTGTACAAAAATTTTAAAAGTTATTTTGCAATATTTTGAAATTATTGCATCATATAAAATTTTTTAAAATATTTTACATCAATAATTTTATTAATGTAATTTTTATTCTAATATTTGTAATTATTTTATAAAAAAGTCTTGCAAGTATATTAATTTTCTTATTTTTTTACTTTAATTAGTACTTTATTCTATTATATTTAATTTTCTTTGTATAAATTATTTCTTTATAATTTGCTTTTTATTTATAAAAAGATTTGCTTTGTTATTTTATCTGTCTTTACTGTAACTTTTAATTTTAACTAATTTTAATTTAATGTTTTGCTTTTAACTAGTTTTACAATATTCAATATTCATATTGCATTTTTTTTTTAGAATCTTTTTGTTTTTTGCATTTTGTAATGCTTTACTAATATTTCTTATTACAACATTACTATTTGTATAAATTTTTATATCTTTTTTTTCTAATACTATTAAGATTGCTGCTTATATTGTTATCAGTTTAACTACTTTTGCTAAAAACTATTTCTTTAAATCTAATGTTATTTCTTTTGACTAATTATCTTCTTTTTTACTTGTAACTATCTGATATTTATTTTCTTTATGTTATTTTTTTGTTTATATAAAATAAATATCTCTTTTTGTTTCTTGCTAAAATTTTTATTAATTAGTCTGTAAGCACATTATTTAACCCTGGTTTTTTTACTATTTCTACTTTTAGTTCTTCTACTTGTCTTTTTTTTATTGTTTTGCTTTTTTTTAGTTGGTTTATCATTGTATTGATCTTGTAAAATTATATTATACAGAAATATTTTATTGCTATATTTAAATTATGTTTGCTAAATCAAATTGTAAAATTATATAAACCTTTGGTTTAAGTTAATTTTAGATAGTAATCTCACAAAAAATTGATTACTTTTGTAATTTTTATTACAAATAAAACTGCATTGTAATTGGAGTTAGAATAAAAATAACTTCATGTTTAATAGTAAAATTTTATAAAAAGCATTTTTAATTAGAACACAAAAGGTGGTTTCTTAATAAAATTTTGAGTTATTTCAATTTTTTTGCAAAAACATGGGTTCGCTCAATTGTTTATGTTATGCGTAAATTAGTCCCTCGTCTGTGTCACATGAAAACACTGCATCAAAAAAGTAAGAACTCTTAAAAATGTAAGTTTTGCCGCAGGGGAAGCCCTAATGCAGCTTAAGATCACATGACTTAGACAGTATCATTTAGGCCGAAGTGATAATGCCGGGCAGAATGAAGTAATAGGAGAACAAGGAATCGAAAGAAAATGATCGAACATAAAATGATCGAACATAACATACGAAGAGTAAATATCCGATAATTTCCGAAGGTAAAAAAATTTGGCCATAGTCATTATCCAGAAACCTTATGCTTGCAACAGTACCTGGCACAGATTCCTTGAGTGAGAAAACTACAATTATACAATAATGGTTGACTTCTCTAATCACAATTGGTCGATGTAGTTAATCAACAAATGAACCAATCGGAAGCTCATCTGCTGTGCTTTGCACAACCAACGAATTTATATAAAATTACAAATTTTGCTTTATTAAAAACATGAACTCCGCACGAAATTGTGCTTTATACTTGATTTTTATTCAATCGTAACACCTGAAAGTAAAATGAATTTAACAAGACCTTCCACCTCCTCTTCTTCAGCTGACGCTCCAGGCTTGCTTTATGCTGGCTTCAATCAAGACTTTGGGTGTTTTGCTGCTGGGTTAGATAGTGGATTTAGAATATTCAATTGTGATCCCCTAAAAGAAAAAATGCGTAAAGGTATCATCAATTTATCACGGGATTTCTAAATAATACCTGCAACAAAGTATACTATATTAGAAGTCCGAGATCTTATCAAAGACGTACTTAACCAACACTTTCATAATTACTGGTTTTCGTAGATTTCGACGACGGTGGGATATCGATCGTTGAAATGCTATTTCGGTGTAATTACCTCGCTCTTGTAGGTGGTGGAAAAAATCCAAAGTATCCACCAAATAAGGTTATTATATGGGATGATTTGAAAAGTAAGGGAATAGCAGGACTGGAATTTCGGAGTGAAGTCAAGAATGTAAAACTGAGAAGGGATAGGTTAGCATTAAATTATTTAAATCTCGCTAATTTCTTCTAAAAAAAACAAACCAAAAAAAACCCATCGAAATTTTTATTTAATTCATATTTATCTGATAAATGTTACTTTCTTTTTTTAGGATCGTCGTTGTTCTTTCTAATAAAGTATTTGTCTACATGTTTAGCGCGAAACCACAGAAGCTTCACACTTTTGACACAATAGACAACGATAAAGGTGATATTAAATTTCATCACCATATATTGCAATATATTTTTGTTAAAAAGATCGCCATGTGTCATCTTTTTACCAATATGCGATAGGTTTGGTTGCTCTATCGTCATCAGAAAACCACGCCATATTGGCGTTTCCAGGTCGACAAAAAGGCCATATTCAGATCGTAGATCTCAATACCTTCCATGCTACCACGGCAGTGACTAGAAACAACACTGCCTTTCCTGCAAACTCATCGTCGTCTTCATCCTTTCCACATCATAGACGTTCTTCATCGTTTGGTGGTCATAATGATCTACAGCCTCCGTCAATTCAGGATAGAAGACCAAGTGTATCTAATGGCTCAAGACCTGGAAGTATTATAAATTCGAGCGGAAGTACAACCGTGATGACCATGACCACAAATATCAGTATTATTCCTGCACATACTGGAAAATTGAGTTGTCTGTCAGTAAACGCAGATGGAAGCAAATGTGCGAGTGCCAGTGAAAAGGTTGGCACAACCTTTTGTTAATAATTTGTTAATTATTTACATCATTTGGACGTTATTGAATCTTCGTTCGTATTCCTATATTTAGGGTACACTAATAAGAGTTTTTGATACCTCTACCGGAAAATTATTGAATGAATTACGACGTGGTGTAGATCGTGCTGAGATTTATAGGTGTGCACTAAATATAAATATTCGTTGTGACTATTTGGCATCTAGTAACACATAATACAATCAATAGCATCGCATTCAACCATGATTCGACGCGATTATGTGTTTCTTCTGACAAGGGAACGGTACACATCTTTAATCTGGACGTCATTCTCGGAAATGGTGTTAATCACTCTCCAAATAATGGAGCTGCTTACTACGGCGAGGTCGTTGTAAAGTAAATATGTGTTTTTTATTTAGCATATTTCTAATATTCAGCTTTAATTTTGCACTTCTTTCATTTCGTCACAGCAATACGATTCCACCACCGAGCGGTAACAGACAATCTAGGTAATTTATCTATTTTATCAATTATGTAAACGTCATTATGGGAATAATATTTCAATACTAATATTTATTATCTTTAAAGTTTATCTTTTATGAAAGACTTGCTTCCAAAATATTTCTCTTCCGAATGGTCATTTGCACATTTTAAAGTAATGGCAGACTGTCGATGCATCTGTGGATTTGGACAAGAAAGAAATTCTGTAATTGGTAAATAAGAATATCTAATTCCATTATTTAATACAAAACTTGTGTAATATCTCTCTTTCTTTGATTTAGTGATTTGTGCGGACGGAAGCTTTTATAAATTTACGTTCGATCCCCGCAAGGGAGGAGAGTGTGTGCGAGAAGATTATGAAAATTTTTTAAGAAATCAATATGATTGATAATTGATCAGTTTTTGTGCCACACTGATAATTGTTATTGGTAATTCATAAATTGGTAATTCATAATCAATTTCTGATGTACATTTATATTGTTTAAATTATTTCATAACTATATTTTAGATAATTTGGGATAGCACGGGGTTGGGGTGATTATATTTAGCACGTGTTGTGAATCTTTTGTATTGTCTACATATTATTCATGTATATGTGTACATTCTTGAAGCATTTTTTTTTTCTTTTTTTTTTTTAAAAAAAAAATAAAAAAAAAATAAAGTCAATTGGATCGGTATTTTAACTGGTATGAACTTTATTCATTATTAAATTATGTTAATATACCAGATACCGTATTGTCGGGAAATAACACCCCGGGGTGTTATTTAGGGACACATTACTTGAAGAGCAGTGTTGGCAATTGGACAATCAACTAATGAAGATCATTGGTTGGTCCAATTGTTAGAGTCAAATTATCCAATTAATCATCTAATACTATTTATTGGTTAATTTGATTTTCCAATTGCCAACACTGTTGAAGAGAGCTAATAATTGTTATGATGAGATACGTATTCGGCTAAATTATTAAGAGCTCTCTTCAAGCAATGTCTCGAAATTACGCCCCGGGGCGTTATTTCGCGACGATACGGTACATAACAAAACTATTTCTACAAAATTTAACAAGACTAACAGCTAAATATATCTGAAATATTTAATAAAATGATCAACATATAGTAACGATAAAAAATAATATATACTGATACTGATACTGTAATACGTATTAAGTTATGTGCAGTTTTACAATACGTATTACGGCCCACGAGTGTATAGACCTATGCGATTTCAGGGATTTTTCATTGCTTAAACAACGGAAATCGCATGAGTCTGGTGAACATGTGGTACGTACCAATAATTTGTTTCAATTTATAAAGGCTACCGGTAAATTCCAAAATTATACGTATAATACGTAATAAATTAATTGCCAAGTATAGATTTCTGGCATCATATTGTTTCAATCGGATTTCGGAGTGACCAGTAGTTTGGTTGTGGCTTGGCGTACTAATATTAATACCCGATTTATTTAAAAACTTTTGCTGAAAAAAAAAAACTTTTTATCAAGACTATGCCTTCCGTTTCTTCTTTAAATGTCGAAGATAAAACTGCGATAAAAAAGGTCATAAAGACCTCCACAAATGTATGATTTTTCTCCACGTAATTAACAAGCCATTTGAAATTATACCGATTATTATACTGATTACATTTTTTTTTTTTTTATATTAGAAAATCCTCACTGCAACTGTAGTTCGGCTTTATGTTGCGCATCCTAATCCAAATACGTGGACTTACAGCAACCTTATGGGTGCTGTAGCTTTTGTCAAAGATCAAGAAAAGAATTCTTTTTTTTTTCGTTTAGTGGATTTGATGGTTTGTTAAATTTATTTCAGCTTCGAATCAAATCGTTATAATAAAAAATGTAAAAAATTTAATTTTTGTAGAACGATCAAGGTATTTTGTGGGAACAAGAATTACGTAAAGACTTTAAATACAATCAAGAGTGCCCATTTTTTCATACCTTTTGCACTGATGTAAGATCTTGGTTATTTTAATTATTTTAATTTTATAGTTAAGCATCATTTTCATATCTTTCTATTCGAATTCTTTAATAGGATCACTTTTCTGCATTCTCGTTCGCCAATGAAAACGAGGCCAAAATCTTTTACAAAAAAGTTATAAATAGAGAGAAACTTAGTGGTAAAATTTAAATTATTTTAAATGCGTATACTCGTCAGTTTTGTAAATAACATTGATTTGCTGATATATGTAATAATTTAAATAGATAAAAAAAACCAAAAGAATTCTAAAAGTGGCGGATTATTTGGTACCAAGAAAAATGGCAAGAAGGGTAAAATAGACAAGGCATCAATCAGCAAACCAACTGATTTTAGGTTTATATTTCAAAGGATTTTATTTAATGTTTATTAATAAGGACACATGTGCTAAGAATAATGATCTATTTTCTTAAAGGCACCTCGGACATATAGGTTTTAATCCTGATACAGGATTTGATGTGCGAATAGTTTTTTTATTCAATGATCTGCGAATAACAAAATAACGACTAAATCTTGATTTTCGTAGGTACAAAACATCAATCCTTCATGGAAAAATCTATTCGATCAACTAGGTGAATTGGGTATCAGTCAGGTAAATATATTAGATTCAATTAGTCACCGATACCTTATTCCTAATATAGAGATACGCTAAAGCTTTGAGTCTTATGGATTGTAAGAATCAGGTGACCAATATAAAATACCGAAGGTTTTAGCGTATCTCCTAGATTAGATATTGTACCCGTCAAAAAATCTCTACCCGGGTATTATTAAATTATCCGGTTATCCGGGTAATTTATTATTGCCATATAATAAAAATGTCTACCAGAGTACAATCTCTATCCTAGATCTCCTAAAACAGTATTTCTTATACATTTATAAATATTTTAATAGGAAATAATTACACAAAATGCCGATTTTATTATGCAATATGTTGATGAAAATGGTGGAATAAAAAAAACAAATAAGCCTGCCAAAACGACAACCGGCAAATCAGCTTCTGGTGCTACAAAAAAAACACCTCCACCACCTCCACCAAGTCGACGTCCTGGATCTTCTCCATCTGCTAAACCCAAAGCAAAATCACCGCCACCTCCACCACCAGCTCGACGCTCGGTTGTCAGCAATCAATCGAATAATAACGGATCTTCAAAACATTCTAGTCCTCCGCCGTCTCCAAAGCAGGCCATCCTTCCAACAACTCATAAACAAGCAACATCACACCCGCCACCACCGCCTCCATTTCCAGTTTCGAGCGTTAATAAGGTTACACAACCTTCTCCAGTTTCGGGCATAAATAAACCGGTACATCCGCCTCCACTTCCAAACGTAAATAAAATCACACCAATATCAAGCACAAACAAAATCCCACAACCACATTCTGTTCCAAGTGTTCAGAAAATTGCACAGCCACCTCCGGTTCAAGTTACGCCACCGCCGCCACCACCACCACCTTCAGGTTCAAGTATACATAAAACTGTACAGCCGCCTCCAGTTCAAGCTGCACCGCCACCACCGCCACCTCCCGTTCGTCCGGCGACTCAAAACGAACCTCCACCATTACCGCCAGCTAGGGTGCAGGCCCGACAACCAACATCAGCAGCGGTGCCGCCACCACCTCCACCACCACCACCTACTTCAGATGGTGCCCCGCCTCCACCGCCACCACCACCGCCTGCTTCCAGAGTTCCACTACCACCGCCACCACCTACTTCTGGTGCCCCTCCTCCTCCTCCTCCTCCTGCGAGTAACGCTGCATCCGCGCCATCTACGTCGAATGGCCGTGCTAATTTACTGGCAGAAATTCGTAATGTGGGTGGCGCTTCTAAAGCTGGTCTTAAACCCGTAGGTGTTGAAAATTTAAATCATATGTATGTATCTTGTTTGATGCACTTTAACCAAACTTTTTTTTATTAGGTTGGGGAACCAACTCGTCAGTCAACTATATCAGAAGATCCTCAGAGTCCAACCAGTGGTGGAAATGATCTTGCCTCAGCGTTAGCAAATGCACTTTTGAATCGTGGAGCAGCAATTCGCGGTGATTCTGGTCAGTATTTATTTCATATGTATTTTTTGTTTTTCATCAATATATAATTGATTTGTTGAGCTTTTTTATTTAGATGAAGACGAAGATGAAGATGACGATGATTGGGATGATTAAAAGTGGAATTGAGTAGTTTTGTATTTCTAACAGCCATTATATCCAGATAGACATTCTATTTTATATTTCTTTGATTTATAAATAGTTATCTATTATCCTTGATTTATATCCAGTTTACATTATATATTTCCATAGTCTCTATTTAATAGACGAATATACACTAAATCCATAAATTAGTAACTGATATAGCTATGTAAGGGGGACATCTGAAAACATACAAACGTGAGGTTGGATAGCGATCACGCCTATTAAACTCACCAATCAAATTTAAATTAAGTAAAAAATATCATGTGATAAATGCAATAACCCTAATTAAGAAAAAAGCACAGTGGAATATCGATATCCACATAATGATCCCATCTTTATTATAGTAACATCAATTTTCTTATAGCAAATAGTTTTAGGAAAGGCTATGGGCGCAAAAGTTTTAATTTTTGATGCGCGTACACAAAAATACTGTCCTTGTAGATCATCAAATTGTCATAATAAATTTATTTCAAGACCCATAACCATAACCACGTCTCTGGCGGCTTGTCTTACTCCATTTTCCAGCATAGAAGACACTCGTATTTTTACGGAAAATCACGGGTTATAACATCCATGTGATTGGTTAATTTATATAGATCCAAGCGTGATTATTGACCAATCAAGTCAATTAAAGAAATTCATGAAATGGAACAAAAAACCTTGTAATGCTAACGTAATTCTACTTTATTTTACAGGTAGGTGTTAAAAGTTCAAGTAAAGATATCTTGATGATTATCTAATCAAATTCAATGAATTTTTTTTATTTCAATTCTATGGATACACAGAATTCAAATAAAAAAAATTTCATCAAAATTGATTAGATGGTTATCAAGATATCTTTACTCAAAGTCAATAAAAAATTAAAATTTCTATTAAATAATTATACTAAATTTTTTTAAAACTTAAAATAAAGATATCTTAATAGTCATCTAATCAAATTTGATAAATTTTTTTTTATTTAAATTCTATAAATACATAAAATTTATATAAAAAAAAATTATTGAAATTGATTAAGTAGTTATTAAGATATCTTTAGTCAAAGTTAAAAAAAACAAAATATCTATCAAAATAAAAGTTATATCAAAATTTTGTTAAAACTTTGAGTAAAGATATTTTAATAATCATCTGATCAAATTCAATGAATTTTTTTATTTAAATTTTATGAATATATAGAATTTAAATAAAAAAAATTTATCAAAATTAATTAGATAGTTGTGGTGATTTAGTAAAGTGATCAGATTGTTAACCTTCAAATAACAGATTTAGAGTTCAAATCTCATAAATGATGAATTTTGGAAAATAGGTCTGTATTATGATAACTGTTTCTGTTGATTGGTTGAATTAGTATATTTGTAACTTTCAGTTATATTATCTCAAATGGGAGCTTGAGGCATCTATGCTAAGTATAATATTACATTCATATAGAGAAATGTATAATTAGTATTGCATAAGACTTCAGTGCAAACCTATAATAAAATTACCAGATACAGAAAACAAAAGAACTGAAGAGTTGGAAATTTACTTGGAAATTTCAAGTAAAAATGTAGTATAAAATTTTTGATAGTACTGTCAGACTGATGAAAGTTTATGAAACATCCTTAAAAGAATAGACAGATAAACTAGAAAACAAGATGTGTAGAGAAGCATATGATCAACCAGATCGCCAGAATCATCAGAGAAAAAAAATATTAAGATATACCATATTGAGTTATCTGGATTAAATGTTTGAGAAGTTCTATCAGTTCTGAATAACAGTTAGTAGAAGATAATAGAAAGGATATTAGAAAGATAGATACTGAGATTTTGAGTAAATCTTATAAAGATAAAAGTGGTTTAATAATTAGCTTTGATTACAAATGATGGTTTAGGCCAAAGTGATACTAGCTAAGTTATAAGTATGTGATACAAAATGCATTAGTAAGTTTAGTACAAAGTTAAATATGACTTAGTAATTATGACATATCTTTACCAGTTTACCAGAGTTATTGGTAGGATGTAATAAATATAGAATCAGAGTTTCAAATAGAGGTCTTATAGGTAGGTCCTAGATATAGCAACTAGTGTAGAACCTTCAAGTAGATTACTTAAATTAGACAATGACTAAAGTTATATAAGTAACTAGTTGTATACTCTTTTTATAATCACCTCTGCACTGTTATATTAACATATACTGGTCAACTGATACTACTAATAAAATCCTAAGTTGCTTATATTCATCTTAACATTAAAAAAAAAAAAACTACTATCTAATCAATTTTGATGAATTTTTTTTATTTGAATTCTATAAATTCATAAAATTCAAATAAAAAAATTCATCAAATTTGATTAGATTATTGTTAAGATATTTTTGTTCAAAATTTTAACAAAATTTTAGTATAATTTTTATTTTGATAGATGTTTTAGTTTTTTTTTAAGTTTAACTAAAGATATCTTAGTAATTACTTAATCAATTTTAATAAAATTTTTTTATATAAATTCTATATATTTATAGAATTCAAATAAAAAAAGTTTATTAAATATAATTAAGTAACTATTAAAATAACTTTATTCTAAGTTTTAAAAAAATTTAGTTAATTATTTTAATAAATATTTTAATTTTTCTTAGATTTTGAATAAAGATATCTTGATAACCATCTAATCAATTTTGATAAAAATTTTAGTTAAATTTTCAAATTTTTAATTTTTTATTAAAAGATACAAATATCATATATGAGGAATATAAATACTAGTCTTTATTAAATATACAGTATTATATTTTAAATAAAAAAAAGATTATTAATCATAAAGCTATTAAAAAAAAAAAACTTATTCTTTTTACTGATTATTTAAATACAAATTTGATAAAAAACAAAAATTAAGTTTATATAAAAATGATTATTTAAATTATTTTGAAAGATTTTTTTAAAAAAAAAGATTCAAGAAAATTATAAAAAAAAAGTATTAAAAGTAATTTTTATTAAAAAAATTGAATATATTAGAAGAATATAACAACAGTTTAATAATAACATATATCAAAAAAGTATACTAAATTATTAATAGTATATATAATAATATGTTTTTTAAATAAGTAGACAAAACATATATAATATTTGATAAAAAAACAAAATTATTATGTTAACAGAATAGAACTCAGATATGGTTGTATTATTAAGAATAATAAAAGAGTTAATAGAAAGAGCAGAAAAAGAATAACCAAAAAAAATTAAACATAATAGAACAAAGCAATTATATAATAATAATAAAATTTATTTTGAAACAAATATAAAATAAATTAAAAGAATAATATCAAATAACAAAAATAGAAAAAATTCAAGAGATTAAACAAAAATCAGTTTCAAAATAGAAATAGAAAATAAAAAATAATACAAAAAAAAACATAAAAAAACAATATAATAGCTTAATAAAAAGAAATAACAAAAATAAGTCTTAGTAATAATAGTAGAATAGAAATAAGATAAGTTCTGCAAAAATAAGAAAAAAGAGAAAAATATAAGTAAAAAGATAAGATATAATAGAAAAAAACCAAAACTTAATTTAATAGCAGAAAAAATAAAAAAACAAAAAAAAACAAAATAAAAATTAAAAGAAAAATTAATATAATAAGAATATTACTAGAGAAAAACATATAAGTACCAAGCAAAAGAAGTTGTAATCAAAACAACAGTCTACTTGTTAACATATTAGCATATAACATATCAGAAAAAATAAATAAAAAGTATTTTAAATTTATTAGATGCTCATTAAAGAATAATAAACATGTTAAAGACATTAAAAAAGTTTTTAAAAAAGAAAGCTTATATACTGTATAGAAATAGATTTCAATTATGAATATAACAAAAAAAGAAGTAATACAAAAAATTAGCAAAAAAAAAAAAGATTGATACAAAATAATACTAAAAAAAAAAACAAAAAAGAAAAATATAAAATTTTGATAAGAAAAATTATTAAAAAAAATATATATAAAAATAAAAAATAAAAATAAAAATATAAAAAAATAAAGTAAAGATGTATAAAGATATTACAAAATAAATAAAGAGTATAAAAACAAAACTTATTAAATAATATAGGCCTTACCAACAGATAGAAATAAAAAAAAACTAAAATATATTTGTAAAAAATTTAAAAAAGCCAAATAGTAGAAATTAAAAGATCCAAATACAAAGTCTTAGTAGTAGTGCAAATAAAAAAAACAGATAAAAAAATATTTTATAAGTTATATCAGTTAATAATAACAAATTGGTATAAGTAATAATAGAAAAAAAAACTACAAAACAAGAAAAAACTAGAAAAAATATATAACAAAGTTAACAAAACTATCTAAAAATGTTTCAGAAATCTTATTCTTATAAAGTTTAAAAAATAAAAGAGTAAAATCATTTTATATCTTACTGAATAAAAATAAAACTAAAAAAAAACTACAATAATCATATTTACAACTGAGAAAAATATAAAGACAATTTAATCAAAACTAATTATATTTAATAATTTTTGATTATATTAGATAAATGAAGAAAAAAAAAAACAAGAAAAGATAAAGTTTTTTAAAAAAAGAATAAAAAATTAGAACAAATTTAATTAAATTATTGATATAGAAAATGATAAAAGCAAAAAGAAAAGGCAAAAAAATAGAATACATGTAAACAAAGCTAGAAAAGAGAAAAATCTTAAAATTATAAATTAGAAAACAAAAGAAAGAAATAATACTTAAAACAAAATTTAGAAAACCAAACAAATATATAAATATAACCAAAAAGAAAGTAAAAGTTTTTAGAAAAGAAATAACTGAATTCAAGATTTAGATACAAAAAAAAAGTACATATATAGAAAACATATTAAGTCAAATTTAAGAAAAATTAAAAAAATTAAAAAAAGTAAGAAAAATAATATGAAAAAGCCTAGCTAATTATTTCTGAAGATAATCTAATTAAAATAATAAAAATAAACATGAATTTTTGTAAAGAGAAAGAGAAATATTTAAAAAAAAAACAGTACCTTTTTGTTAAAAAAAAAAAGTAGAAACAAAAAGAAAAAAAATATATATAAAAATAAAACAAAACTAATTAAAAAAAAAGATATATTATAATATTAATAAATAAAAACCAGTAGTTGAAACTTTAAAAATCTGCTTAGCTAAGCAAAAAAGAAAGAAGGTACAATATTGAAAATTATAAAAACAAATTTTACAAAATAAAAAGAAAAGTTCTTAATATACAAGACAACTAAAAGATATATTAAATATTGAAGCAATATAGCAAAAAATAAGAAAAAAGAATCAGATATAGAAATTTTGATAAAAAAATATTAGAAAAAATATATAGGCACAGTTAAGAAGATAAACAAGTATATAATAAAGATTATATTATACTTTAAACAAATAAAATTAAGAGATGGGATTCTGTAGCCTAGTGGTCTAGGCACTTCTTCCTCTACAGATAAGGTCAACAGTTCAATTTCAGCTTGAAGCAAAACTTTGTAATCTACAGAAGCATATAAATATATGCGAAGCTCTGTAGCTAAGTTCATGTAATTAGAAGATCAGTATATAAGGAAGTTCCTAAAAAGAAGTTTCCCAATATGGAAAGTTGGTGCTCAATGCAAGAGAAGCAGTGAATATACCAGAAATAGAGAGAAGGCATACTAGTAAATAATATAGTAAACATAAAAGGAAACTATGAAAAAGAAATAAACTTACTGAAATTTAAACACTTCTAGCATTAAAACTGGTTCTAGTAGATACCGGATCTACTAAAATTGGATAAATCTAAGGGGTAATCTTGGTACTATACTTAGTAAGTTTGTGTCAAGGATAAATTCAAAAAACTATAGATACTTAGTAATATCCAATAAGGTGGTATTTAGATATAAATAGTAATTAGATAGCCCTAACCTGTTCTGTTACAATACTTAGTGATATACATTGTATATATATGCAGTAAGTATTGAAAATCAGAAAGTTTAAATAGAGGACTCACAGGCAGGTCTTAGGTATGACATCTAGTAGGTAACCTATAAGCAGAACTCTTAATTAGATAATGACTAAAGTTATACATGTAACTAGTTGTACTTTCATTGATATATCCTATATATAATATGTAATCTTATATGGCTAATAATAAAAAGACACACAACTGAGATCACCCTTAAAACTAAAAAAAAAAACAAATAAAATTAATAGTAATAAGTGTTTATATACTACTAAACAACAAAAAAGTAAAAAAAAGCATTTAGCAAAAAATAATAAAAATTATTATAAGAAAGAAAAGACAAATACAAGTTATTATCATAAGTAACTTTAACTATACTATAACAATAAATTAAATAGACAAAATCTATAAGTCACAAATTTTAAAAGATTGCCAATATTTAACTAAATAAAACAATAAAACTTTTATAATATATACAGAAAAAAATACATTTAACAAAACAAAGATATATATAATTAAATGCAATAACAGTAATAAGAATCAACTATATATAAATATCAAAAGAACTAATATTAGGTCTACAAAGAACAGAAATTAAAAACATAGAAGAAATTACAAAAAGATAGTAATAATAAAAATATAAGTAAAATATATAAAAGCAAAAAAAGCAAAACAGAAGTCAAAAAAAAGAGCCAATTAAGAACAATATATTTCTATAACAAGACAAAAGATGAAGAGTAGAAAAACTATGTACAAGAATTACAAAAATGATTAGAGATTAAAGAAGCATTAAAGCATATTCAAAATAAAAAATAAAAAATAAAAAAAAATACAAAAAATAAATAATATATAGAACTTAATAAAAGAACCAATTGAACAGTAGCAAATAAATACATACTTAAGAAAAAATTTACAACATAACAATAAACAGAAGGTACAGTTAAGAAGATTAACAAGAGAAGACTATTATATAGCTCTAAAAATTAATTAAATACACAAAGACAAAAAAAAAACAGAAAGTTACAAAAATAAAAAAAGTAAATTAAATAAACTTAAAATACTAATCAAGAAAATAGATATAAGGTTACCAAAAATCCAAAAACAATGGTCTAATATCTAAATAAAAAATATAAAGAGTTGGCAAAAATTCTTCAGAAAAAAAAAAAAAGAATAAGAACAAAAATAAAAAAAAAACAAATAGAAAAAATATAATCAAAAAATATAAAATAACAAAATTGATTAAAGAAAAATAATAGCCAGTCTTTTGAACAAACTATACAAAAAGGTAATATTTAACAAATTAATTGAATAGACAGAAAAAAGACAAAACTAAGATCTGAGTCTTATAGCTTAGTAAATAAGCTCTTAGACCCATTACAGACAAAGTTAATAGTTTGAGTTTAGCTAAAGATGAAATATATTCTGTAATCTAATTAAAAGTCTATAACTAAATGCAAAGTTCTATAATACAAATACAAGTAAATATCTATTTAAATTAGAAATTTCCAAAAGAAGATCAACCTGTAAAGTGCAAATATTATATTTAGTAAGAGAAGTGATGAATATAGAAAGACCTATAAAAAGGATTGGCCTTACTAATTAGAAAACATTTCTGGCAAAAAAAATCTGTAACAAGTGTAATTGTAAGATCTACCTCTGTCTTAGTAGAGTTTACCTTGTAGGCAAAGTAGCTCAAAGACCCAATGCATATCAAATTAAGTTTGATATTATAGAAAAATTAGAAAACTTTAAATAGGAAACCCATAGGTGGGTTTCAGATATGGCAATTAGCAGATAACTTGCAGGCAGAACCTTTAAATAAACAATGACTAAAATTGTATATATGGCTAATTGTAGCCTCGTTGATATGCAAAATGTAATATCCCTTTATATAAGTAATAAATAGATGTTATATTTAATAAAATCCACAAAGCCAGAGGTCTTTTTTTAAACCAAAAAAAAATAATAATAAAACTAATAACAGAATTAAAATTAGTCAAAGAAGCCTTAGTAGAATATTATAAGAAACAATTTGAAGAAAAAATACCAAATTAGAAAAAATGTCAAAAAGCTGAAAAGAAATTTATAAACTACAAGATTACATTAAAAAAGAATACTATAACAGAATTAAAAAAAATTAAAAAAAAAGAATAAAATAAAATAATTAAAAAGCTTAAGACAAAAACAACTTCTAAAATATTAGAAATAAGCTATATTTTAATTTAAAAAGCAGAAAAAAAAGTACAAAGGATGTTTAGAAAATAACCCTAGTGTCACTTATAAAAAAATTTAGCTGACATTATTGTAAAATTATATGATGCCAAAATTAAGTTTATTGAATTGTATCGATATTATTTCTTATTATTAATAACATATGTAAAATAATTATTGTTAGCATAATAAAAAAAAATAGATAAAAAAATCTCTTGTGGCCAATGTCATACTGGACAAAGCTATGAAAATTTCATTAATGAAAGAGGAAAGCAAGTAACAACTTGCCAAAAATGTCGATATAAATGAAAAAGAACTTTAGATCGAATGCAAAATCAAAATCAAGAATATAGCTCAAGAAGTGCATCAGCCATTAGTTTCGAAGACATTAGTGAATTTGTCTATAATTCTCTAGTATCTTTAGAAGGAACTAATAAGCAATACAAAAGTGATTCATCAGAGCTTTATATTAATTTTGACATTCAACTATTACAAAATAATAATAAGTTATTAAAAGATTATACAACTAAACAACTTAAAGAATTGGGTGATCAAATAATATTTCTTATAAAGAAAGGAGACAGCTATAGTTGGATTTACAAAAGTCAAAATTTGGCTGATTATTTAAATTTAATTTATTGGTACAATTGTAGAATCGAACTTGGAAAGCATAGATCAAAAGTTTCAGATATTAATAAGCAAAGAGATACCTCTGCACAGCTTGAACGATATAACTGTAAAGGGTTTATAAATATCAAAATATCAAAAAATAACAATTTGATTAAAGTTGATTATTCACATTTGATTTTACATTTATGTCCTATACATGTTCAAACAACTCAAGAAATATGTGAATTTATTCATTAAAATATAAACTACTTAGTTCCTAAACTTTGGCAGCAAATATATAAGAAAAAGCTTGATGGCTATAATAATTTAAGTATCCAGCAAGTCTATTATTAGTGGTCTCTTGAGTCATGAAAAATTTATCAGCATAATTTAGATCTATTAAAATCAGCACATATATTATTAAATGAATTTGAACAAGAGATTATTATTAATGTAGTAAATTCTATTGGCATACTTGGTTTTATAACATCACTTTTTCAAATACTTCTGTGTAATAATCTTGTTGCTATTGAAATCGATTCAACTTATGATACAAACTATAATAAGTAGGAATTATATGTAATAATGGGTATACTTGATAGAATGAGATTTCCTTTAAGTTATCACTTAATTGAAGCTGGCAAAAATCGAGATATTACTGGAATACTTATTAGTTGGATGAAAGAATTAAAAAACTAACAATTAATTAATTTTCTATTTGTTTTTGTTGATAAAGCAATGGCTGAAATAAATGCCATTTACTCTGTTTGGCCAGAATCTCATTTACAAATATGTGCATGGCATGTACATCGAGCAATTAAGCAAAGATTAACATCAAATAAAAAAATTCGAAATTATAATTATAATTCTTATATTGCATATCAAGAATGTTCTGG